TGCGGACCAAAATTTCGAAGATCTTCGGCCGTTAGCCAATCAAAATCGAGGATCTGCCGCGCATTTTTTGTGCGGCAGCAGTCACGCGAAAATTGAAACATTTCACGTGATTGTCGGGTATAAGCTTCCGGCACCATATACTATATATATTAATATTATTACTAAATAATAAATATGCATCATTATATGGGCTGCCGTCAATACGTAGATTGGCATTTTAAAAAAAATTTATCCCTTAACGTTAAGGGAGTGTCGGGTATTATGGCACACACTTAAGAGTTGCACATATAAAAATTTTTAAGAAAAGCGTAGCCTTCTCTCCAAGCATTATCCAAATGAGGAAATACATTAAAAGTGGGTCCGTATTATTTCACCGAAGCTGGCAAGTTTTTTTTTATAAATTACACTAACTTTAACTCTAATTCTAACTAACCCTAATGATATTGACCAGAATTACATTGTCTGTAAAATGGGCTTCGGTGAAATAAACTGTTCGAAAAAGCCAGATCGGATCGGATTCGGATCCCAACCGCGGATCAGTTTTGGCCCAGAAAATTCGAATTGTGCCGAATTGGGCCTAATTTTAAAATACGTGAACTGTAATATTTGACCTTCACTTATTTGTAGTTGAACCTTGCGATTTTATATAATCTGAATCTTCTCAACGAGACGATTCGAAAGGTACTAATATAATTAGATTCTGAGTGCTGTTTAACTGAAAAACCTAAGTGTCCACTTGCGCCAGAATACCCAACTCTCCCTTAACTTTCATAGCTTATATCTCGATGAATTTTGAGGCTATCTTGACAAATAATATTCAGAAGGATGCTTAAGATCTAGACTTTCTTTTGAATATTAATTCATCAAGATAGCCTCAAAAGTTATTGAGTATAAGTTGTGAAAGTTTAGGGATTAATTTTTTAAAATGTCAATCTGCTTGATTTCTATTGACAGCAATTCATATCGATATATAAATTCAAATACCATCTGAAATTTCTTTTAATGCAGTTCTGTGCAGATTTGTAAAAAATTAAATAATAAATCAAATGAAAATCTGCGCAAAACTTCAAATTTGATACTATAAATGCAGAAATTAAACAATTTTGCAGATTTTTCTGCTGCAAAAATCTGCAAAACTACAGATTTTTGCAAATTTACACTTAATTTTCCTGATGACTAATTTATAATAATCAGATCTCAATATATTACATAGCTTTAGGATATATTGCATAACAGATAGCGTACTGTACATACATCGAATCATGTACGTACTGTATTATGGCGGAGACGGATAAAACCTTTCAAATTCAAAAACGAATTTTGTATCTCGTTACGTCTAGACAAATAAAGATCTTGTACTATACTGCATCTAATGCTATCAAACATAGGTCTCAAACAAAGGTAACTAAACTAATACATCTATCTAAGTCATTTATGAATGCATCATTGCATTTATTTACTAAACTTAAACACAACGTACATTATATTTTGCAGCTAGGTTATACTTGCATAAAGAGTATCTACGTAGACACAATAGAAATAAAAATGGTAGCTTTATTGTGTTTGAGAAAAATACGATGATTATCATCTGTATGTCATTGTGACAAGATTGCTAAAATGTGTATGCATTTTCTTGTAATGGCGTAATTCTCGTGTTGAAACTATAATTCAATAATAGCGAATTAAAAATGTACAGTTATTCAGGTAAATTTCAATAACAATATTATAAAAAGCGCGGTATTTTATCACTAAAATTAAATTGGTTTCTTTTAGTATGAACTCTTCAAAAATTCTTTAAATAACGTATTCAAAATTTTATAAGCGAATATACAATAATATGGGTGACCTCAACAGTCCACCTACTGATTTGACGATAAATAATGATGACGAAATAAAAACGACTCCAAATCTGAATAACATAAATCTTCAAACAATACCGATGAAAAAAATTATATTTCAAAAAATTAAAAGATTTATGGAAATAATGAATTATTTTCGACTATTTTTTGCGTTAACTCTTTATATCTTAATTTTAATCGATTTAATTAGTACGCAACAAAATAAAGAAAAGTATCCTTGGATTGAAATTTTATTGCAGGTTCATATGATTAGTGTGATGTATATACTTTTGTCCTTTCAAGCTAAATATATATATATTAAATCATAACATATCAATATTGCTCAGGTTGTCAACGCCGAGTTCACGTTACTTACTTTAATAGAGCATCCAAAACGACTAAAAAATTTGTTAAGAGCAATTCGAATTTGGGCGGCAAATCACAGAGCAAAAAGTTCTTCAAGAATTAAAAAATTCAGCGAGCCTGATGGTTTCTCTGATTCAATACCTCAAACAGATATTCATTCAACATCTAACCCAGAAAAATTGGTAATAGCTGTAAAAGTTTCATTAGAGCTTCCATCACCCATAAAAACCTTACAAAAACTTGTATCACAAAGTTATGGGTGGTATTTGTATGATGTCGAAGATAATTCATTGATTTGCTCACCAACAAAGTTATTAAGTATCTTAGTTACTTGGAATATTGGAAGCTTAGCGCAATATGGAATTTGTGGTATGTTTTTTTTTTTTTATGCAATTATGCGCTTCTGTATGATCGCATAGCTTAAAACCTATACTAACATAATCTTGTGCAACTATCGGATATGTCTAGCAATCTTATGGTTAATAATACCAATGAATCGTCCATATATTCCATATTTAACATTAACAATAATATCTATATTTTGTGAACTTGTTCCAATTCCCGTGGTGGTCGTTCAATCAAAACGTGCATTGTTTGCCAAACGATCAGTAATGGATAATTCTGAAAAATCTACTCATAGCCATGTTTAGTTATAATATTTCAAATCTTTCGAATCAAAAGCAACTTCATATTTATCATTTTATATACAAATAAATTTAATTTATCCAACGTAAAAAGTATAATTGGGTTCAAACAAATGACAATGCCAATTCTGCATTCCTGGTCGGTGATATTAAATTTATTATAAGTAAAATATATAGTTGGTTTATTAAAAGAAATATTATCTACATATTGAATATAGCATTTAAGAGTGCTTTTTGTAAACTTAGAATATAATTTATGTTATTATACAGTATATATTTAAATAGCTAATATTTTATTATATTTAATATTATAATAAAATAGTTTTATTATATTAGTTAACAAATATTTTTGGCAGTTATAAATTTGATTAAATTTGTTACAAAGATTCGAGATAATAAATAATTTAAATATTACTTTATAAATGAATTCCAATTTTAATAATTGGCTATTACTTTTTACAAATAATACTAAAATTGTTAATTATTACTATCTTTTAAACTGTCAATTTTAGCAAGCAAATTTGGCTGCTAAAATTTTAAATCTCTAGTGTCTGATCTAATTTTGTTAAATTAATATATTTCAAAAAAATTTTATACAATGATATTTGAAAATAAGGATTATAAAATAGTAATATTTATTTTTAATTTATAAAAAAAAAAGTAAAATTGTTTATATACTAAAAATCTTATAAATTTTTAAAAAAAATTTATAACAAGCTTTTTATAATTTAATTTCTACTTCTATAATCTTATTACAAAAAATATAGAATTAGTTTTAATTAGTAAAATTTTTAAATTTTATAAATAAAATATTAATTTTAATTAGCAGTAAAAATTCTTTTTTGGAGTTAGAAATATAAAAATTTAAAAATTTTTAAAAAATTTTTATAATAGAATTTTAGAATTGATTTTTACTTCAAATAATTGGTGGTAATCATCACCACCTCTATTTATTTTTCCAATTTTAGTTCCCATGAAGTTTTCAAAGATCCTGAAAATTTTTACTTAGAGTACCTAATCCTGTTTACTTAGTATGTTTTTGAGATATAAGTTAGTAATATTCTTTAGAATTGGTTAAATTTAAAATTAAATATTTTAATAAGGAAAATTATCTAAATTTTTTACTACTTTTACCAACAGATTGGCCAATTAGATAAGTTTTTATTATTTTTTTGAATCTTACTAACTATAACCAGTGATAATCATCACTAGAGTATTTATATCTCAAAAATATACTAAGTAAATAGAATCAAATACTCTAAGTAAAAATATTTAAGATCTTTAAAAACCTTACAAAAACTACAAACAAAATCTTATATTAGCTCTATATTATATTATATAAAAAAAAAATTTTAATATCTTAATTCTAATTCTAAATATATCTAGAGGTGGTGATAATTACTACTAGTTATGCATATTATATATTTTTTTAGATTTTTTAAATATAAAATTTTGTTTTTTTTTTATTAAGTTCTTTTATCAAGTTCTTTGTTTATTTTTTTGTAGATATTTTTATAGTTTAATTAATTTTTAGTGAGTTCTTTAGTAAGTTCGTTGTTATTTTTAGTGGGGTTTTCTAGTAAATTTGTTATTTTTTGATAAATTTATTTATAAATAAATTTATTATTTTTGGTGGTTTTATAATTTATTACTATAGCGATGTATTACCACCCCGATTAACTAATTAGAGTATAGGATCAGGTATAATGTGAAACCAAAGTGATTATAATTTTTTTTTAAAAATCAGCTATAGCATAAAATTTTGCCTATGAAATTATCTTTCATGTTCTAATAAAAAAAATCTATCTTAAAATTTGGATTAGCTATAGTGCTTTATCCTAACTCTAATCTAACCCTAACCTAACTCTTACTCTAACTCTAAACTAATGAATTAATTTATTGTTTTGATTTCACATTACACCAAATCTTATAAAATGCAATATATTGTATAGACGATAAAATATAAATCTATTTTTTGGTAAGTCTTTTAGCAAGTTTGTTATTTTTTAATGATTATTTGGTAGATTTTTTGTTATTTTTAGTGGGTTCTTCTAGTAAGTTTTTCATTATTAAGTTCTCTAATAAATTTATTATTTTCAGTAAATTCATTCAATAGGTTTTTTATTATTTTTTCAGTAAATTTGTTATTTTTTAGTGGGTCTTTTGACAAGTTTATTGTTTTTCAATATTCACTTAGTAAATACTTTATTGTTTTTAGTAAGTTTTTTTAATAAGTTTTTATTATTAGATTTTTCAGTGAATTTGTTAGTTTTTAGTAAGTTTGTTCTATAGATTTTTTGTTATTTTTTTTGGATTTTTTTAGTAAATTCATTGCTTTTTAGTAAATTCTTCAATAAGTTTGTTGATTTCAGTATTTACTTAGTAGATATTTTATCATTTTTTATTGAGTTTTTTCAATAAGTTTTTTATTTAAATTTTTCAGTAAGCTTTCAATAAGTTCTTTTAATAAATTTATTGTTTTTTAATAAGTTTGCCTAGTAAATTCTTTATTATCTTCTTGTAAGTTCTTTTATTGGTTTTTAGTAGTTCTTTTAAGAATTTTTTGTTGTTTTTATCTTTTATTTTTCTTTTTTTTTGTTATTCTTGTTGCAGTAAATAGGCTAATTTTTTGCTATTTTTGCAGTAGATTTAGTAGACTTTATTATTTTATTATATAACAATGTTCATTATATATATATATATATTTCACTTTAATAACCTTGCACTAATTTATTAGAAGCTTTGTAATTTACAAATTTAACTATCTAATCTACATATTAGATCAATGCCTGGCTGCTTATAAGTGCCCAAGTATGGTTATCACACTAATATTTGCCAACTAGCTCCACATATAATGCTATCCATATTTAAAGCCTGATATAGTGTGATACTCAGCTACCTAAAAAAATTTTTTAAAAAACACAAAATTTTATTTTACTCTAAGTTTATTTTGACTATTAGCTAAGTAAAAAAAAGTTTGAAATTTGTAACCAGATTGTTTCTTTTGCTAAATTATAAATCTCTACTATTTTTTCTTTAATATTTACCAAATATGACCTGCTCTTTTCTTTTTCTCTTCTATACTTATCTCTTTCCAGGACTTCTTTCTTTTACTTGGATAGTTTTCTGTTAGTTAGTTTTTTGCTTATAGATTCATCACTAACGAACTTTCTACAACCGGGTCTTTATCACATGGGTTCTTTTTTTGGAGTATTTATCGAATCACAAAATCTTTTTTCTCTTTTAATTGCTCTACTTATACCCTTATTTTTTTCTCAAGCTGCAAACTTTTTATATCTTTTTCTTCAAATTACTTTGTAGAAATATTCTTGTATAATATAGAAAAGCACCTCGTAGCATTGCCAATATAATGCTAACTTCTTGTGTATTTTTTGAAGTTTATTAAAATTTGCTTGGCAAACCAAAGTATCTTTCTTTTATCCAGCCTTGTTTCTTGTGAGTTACCAAATACCATATTCTTAAAATCTCTTAAGATATATTCAAATTTAGTCTTCTCTTCAAGTATGGCCCTAGTGCTTGTTTTTTTATTTTTATCCATATCTCTTTATAAGCTTTGCAACTAAAAAGGTAATCTAATTCCTTTGTCTTGTTTTCTTTACAAACTACACAATTAGCTGAGTGTATATATATAGGCTATGCTAATGTAGCTTATCCAATATCAGAAGTACTCAGAATAGATTTTTAATTCATTTGATAAGCTTATTACTACTAGCTAGTAATCTACATCTCTGATCTCTTAGTTTTGTTAACTTTTTTCAATATAAGGCCCAAGATAGGTTGTTTTTATGTTCTATCTTTCACAAAGGCTTACAACTTTTCAACAGATACTATTTACTTTCTACTACTTTTTTTTTAACTTTAAATATGAAACTTCATAGTGGGTATTTAATGTTTTTATTTTGCTATAATATATCAAAACTCTATCTAGAGCAGATACTGCTTGGCTACTTCCAAGCATCACTTAAATAAACACTTTCTTTTGCTATGCAATCTGCTATTTCATTTCACTTTATACCTATATGTGTTTTAACTAGTGTTCCACATGGTTCAATTTGGTTTGGATTTTGTACAAAACCAGACTCAAATCAAAAATTTAGTTCGATTTTGTATTCAGACCCAGAACTATATTATCAAACCCAAATCTGAATCAGAGCCCGATTATTGTACATCAAAATTCACAAATAAAAATAGTTATTAATAAAAATAATTTGCAAGTAGTTAAACTTAGTGATATTACTCGGATAGGGTATCACTCAGATTATTCACAGATAGTTAGATATCCGGATTGTAAACTCAGCTACCTAAATAATACTAGATAAAATACCTAGATAATAATAGCTGGATAGTACCTGGATAATACTTGGATAAGAATAAAAGCATATCTGAATTAAATATCCAGATTAAAAATGAATAAGCTTATAATAGAATAAATTGTTTAAATGAAGTTAGAAATAAGTATTTTATATTATATTATATATATTAGTTGTGAAAAATTGCTTTTTGGTTTGTTTTCTGTAATATTCTTCAATTATTTATACTATAGGTTTTCAAAAATAAGCTATCCTTTTTTGGCCAAAAAGTTATACAAAAATCATGGAGTAGTTTATTTTTGGATAAAATTTTGAAAAGATTAATTTTTATTATTTTTTTAAAATCTAGAAGTAGTTTTTATATATAAAAGTCAAAAATTCTACTAAGTAAATTGATAAAAGTCACTTAATAGAAGTTGTTTAGAACATAAAAATACCCATATTTTAAAAGTTTGAAACAAATCAGAGAACTTTTACTAAGATGTTTTTACATTTTATATTTGAACTAAAATGCAAAAACATCTTAGTAAAAAGTTCTTATATTTGCTTCAAACTTTCAAAATATGTGTATTTTTACGTCCTAAACAACTTCTATTAAGTGACTTTTATCGATTTACTTAATAGAATTTTAACCTTTATATATAGAAACTATTTTTAGATTTTAAAAAATTATCA